AAGCTGAATGTTAGCTTTAACAACAGACTTGTGGAAATGTCACTATTGTTTATTCTTTGGTAAAGCCATCTCTTAACCCATAATCAGATGAGGGAACTTTGCGTTCTATTTGAATTAAGAGAAGCAAAAAATTCGGTGAACTCTAAAACTAGCAGTGCATGTATTTTAAGTTGAAAGTAGATCTGATGGTCTAACAACCTTGACCACATCTCTCTAAAACCAGTATTATTGTTTATGAGAGCGTTTTATTACAATACAGTTTTGTTCCTGGACTTTTGTGCATTTGAACTGGGTCTGCTGCCGCCGCTGAGGTTTTCCAACTGTCGCACAGCAGGAGCGTTTCCAAGAAGCGGAGGTGAACAGTGGGTATAGCTACATGGTTTCTGTAACTAATTCAGAGGAAAGACAGCTAGTGACTCCCGGTCGCTGTGCTGCTGATGCAGGCTGCGATAGAGAGTTACGGCCAGTTACAGACATAATTTGCTTGGGAAGTTCTTTGGTTTGATCCCAGGGTTGATAACGGAGGGTCAGATTGTGCCACCAGATACGCAAATCTGAAGCAGAATCGCGCGTTGCCTTCGACAGGACGCGTGCATATGTCTGAGGAGAGAATTAGTCTGTGCGTTTTTCTCGGCTTCAGCTCTGTGCTTGACTCAGCAGGAGCACGATCTGCCAGGGCTCACGCTAGGAGAGCGTGATGTAGCTCATGCACTACCACACAGCGTCTGGATTGCCATCTTCTTACTCATCGTAATCAGTCAGAGCCACTTCCTTCCAGGGCGAAGAGAAGTTTCTGTTGCTGCTTCTGCCCCGTAGCTGTGCTGAGCTGGTGCAGCGCGGAGGGGAGTTGAGCGCTGTCTCCACGGGTCGTTACCATTGCTCTCCGGGCCGTCAAGGCTGTACTTTCTACACTGGGGATGTCACAACTATTTAAGACCGAATTTTTTTTTTTTTCTCCCCAAATCCCAGTGGACTTTTTAGGAAGAGCAAAATCACTGGTTTGTTAAAAAGTGTGCCCTAAGTAGTACTGGAAAATAAGAAGCATTAGTACTACTGCAATATTATCTGCGATGGGTATTATCTTCTGTATCAGTTATAGTTTGGTAGTGTTTTACAAAGCTTTCTCATGCTTTGGTGTGAGAAAGGAGCAGTGCCAGTTTCTAAATCTTGTTTGTATTATGGAACCTCCCTGTCCTCAAAAATAAGTTATCTGAATTATTTTGAATTGTTGCCAGCAAATATTACTCTCCCTGAAGGTTACTTGGGGGGCATATTTGTTTGCAGTGTAACTATGCTTGTTTTGACACATCAAGTTTTCTTTGGGGCTTCTTCGTAATACTTTATTTAGTCTGTTTAGTGTAGCTTTGCTTCAGGCATCTCCCCTCCTCGGCACTGCATAATCAGTCTACATCCAAAATATACATCGTAAAGTAGGATGCCAAAGACTTATTTGCATTGTTAAGAGTCATAAATTGAAATATCACAAGGTTTCTGTTTCATGGAAAGGAAGTAAAAAATTAGTGTCTTAGACAATTCTGTAATGTGTTTCATCTCATCAGTGTTTCTTTGAGAGCACTGTATTCAGTTATTATCTCTAATGACTGTAATGCATTGAGTCACAGTGTTGTTTTTTAAGAGCTTTCATTTTTGTTGTTTGTTTTCAAGGTTATATTATGCCACATACCATTTTATATTTTTTGCACTGGTCCAGACTGTTTAAAAATATTTTTAATCCTCTTACGAAAATTGAAATAGTCTCTTCCCCAGAGCAAAGTTATATGCCTGCTTCAAGTATTCCTAGCAGCTGTAGGGAACTGGTGTTTCTTCCTCTGTCTAAAAAGACATAGGTCATGTGTCTTGAATTTTAGAGTATTGAAAGGTGGTAATCCTTGCATGCTCTTGCATTAGTAATTTCTTTTAGCTATTCCCCTTGCATTTCATGCCATAAAAAATTACCAAAAGGTAGTTTTGTTGTTTACATAATTTTGAAGCTGAGAGAGAGAATTATTTCTACTTTCCCAAAGGTGAGAAAAGTCAGATAACAATATGAGAGAGGTATGAAGAGAGGAGAGGACAGATTTCTTATTTTATTCCAATAGATTTGCATTATGGATAAGAATGAACAAGCTAATTAAATTAAATACATTATTCAGACCTACTGTTTTGGTTTGATTAAATCTCTGCTCTACCAATTGCTTTTTGTTGCTGTAGTTTTTTGGATTTTTTTGTTTGTGCTTTTTTACTGTTTTATTCTTTACTTTCTGCTGAGGCAAGGCACTGTGTCTTTTAAGGATTTGATGATGTGCCCTACAGAGCTTTTATCCTAGTTGCAGCCTTTGACCCCTCATGTAGTGTTTGCTACACCGAAGAAGATCCTACTCAAATGTGTCGGGATTGAGACTGCTCAGCTAACGCAGCTTCAGCATCAGTATGATGAGACCCTTTCCTGAGAATAGCACAAGCGTGGTTTTGTCTTCATGGAGAAGACTCTGGTCTGGTGGACTCTAGTAGGAAGAATGTATTAGGTGCAGAGAAAGTTATCAGAAAACTTAGTAACCAACCAAGTTTCTATTTGCTGTGATTCTTTTGTGCGTTTAGATCTTGGCTGAATTTATGCGCACCTTTTTCCTTCATGAACAACAAGCACCTTTCTGAAATTCTTCTAAACCGTATGGCTTTTATTTACACATATAGAAATGCTGAGGATATTATTTTTTAAGAATATGGGCAGTAACTTTTTTCTGTCTTCCTCTTGAAAACAAAATGTTTTTGTTGAAGTTTTCTCCAAAATGATCAGTCTTACATTGGCACCTGACAAGATTGTCCTTCAAAATTATCGAAAAAGGAAGCAAGTATGAAACGCAGGAGATTTTTTAACACTAGGTGCTGCTACCTGCTCCATTTACATTTACCATCAACACAAAGGTATGTTCTTGAGCAGTTTACTGCAGTTAATGTTGGAAGATTTCCATTCAGGGGAGCCAAAGGGTTCATTTCTCCTGCTTTTGTCTACTCCAGGAAGATCTATTTTATTTTGGCTTCCTTTCCTGGCATTTGAATCAGGATTATGCAGCATTTGAAGAATTTGAGGTGATACACACTTATTGGAGGAAAAAAAAAAAAAAAAGACAAATATTTTCAAAAGCAATATTATGAATAGCTATGTAGTGAGTGAAGCAGGAACTTAGCGCCAAAAGCTGTTCCTTTGTTACCAAATTCTCTGAGAGCCCAATTGATTTGATTTGTCAAAATGTAGAATTAAGAGATCTTGTCTAGATTTACACAAAAGAGGTAGGACTTAAGTGTTCATAGGAACAGCATGCCTCCACTTTTCCCTTCTTTACACTGAGGAAAAATTCACAGGGATTTTTTGGGAAATGGTAGGAATGTTGGATAGGACAGTTAAGGATACTAATGAAAAAGCTGAAAGTTTTTGAAAAGTTTGTAAGTGCCTTCTGGAAAGGATTACTAAAATCAACTCTGAGCAAATTTTGAGCCTCTCTCAAGAAGTTGCAGTTTTCTCCTTCTAATAAATTATTATTAGGTATTTAAGGAGGAAAAATAAGGTCCATCAGTGAAAGAGTTGGTGCTCTCTCGTCAGATTCAAGAAGAGTGTAAAGTAAGTTACTTAACGGTTATTAAACAGTCTAAATATCTACTATGAAAGGCCTACTATAGCTGTCAAACAGAGGGATGGGTTTTGGGAGGAAAACTGTGTGGGTCACCCAGTCACTGGTGGATCCCCTGAAATTCACAGCTATGTAGTCATACTCCCACCAGGCTGCATGTGATGTGGCGGTCCGTCTGTCCGACCGGGTGCCCTGTCGAGTTTCGTGGTTGGGGCTGAGTTACTGGGCCAGCCTTCGCCCAGAAGAAAGCGGGTACACCCGGCTGTTTTGCGATACTGAACCTTTTTTGCTGATGCGGAAGCTGATTCCCTCCACTCCGTCGGCCAGTTGGCTGTACTTAACAGGCGGGTGTAATAAACGAGTGGAGAAAATCCTTGTTTCTGTGATGAGACTATGCGAGTAGCACTGTTTGGCGGGGGGAAGGCTTCCGTGAGGTCCAGGGGGAGAGACGAAAGGCTACAAACCTGCCAGCTCAGGCACTGAATCCACACGTGTCCCTCCGTCGAGGATGCGTAGACTACACCAATTGCTTGTTCGCAGGTTCCAAATTGTAATGTTTTTATGAAGCACTACAGTTATGTAAGACATTGTACGCTCTCAGGAAAGAAAAGAAGATTAAGAATTGATTTTTGCCTACACATGAGAAAGACTTGATAGGAACAGAGTTAACGAAATTCTGCTGAGTGTTGTGCTTTGGTTACTACCCAGCTCAGGGCTAGTCCTCCGTGAAGTCTATCAGCAAAAGATTTATTGATGGCACAGATGTTTCTCTCAACATGTAAAAGGCACACTTGACACACGTTAATGTTAGTACGTTTCACGTAATCTGGAGGTGCAAATATGGTCATTTTGAGAAAACAGTCCTGAAGACGTTTGCTTGCTAATGTATTTCAAAAATAATCCTTTATTTACAAAGTGCTATTGAACAGAAGGAAGAAGAATTAAGCTTCATATGAAGGGCTTAGGGTATTAACCCAGGATGTGAAGGAGGTGTGTTTATTCCTCTCTAGATTTCCTCTGCCACCTTTCTGTGAGCCTTACCTTTTGGCTTGAACTCCTACAGTATAAAATGGAGGAATTATTGCTATCTTAATTGATGGCAGCGATATTGTCAGGATAAACTGGTTAACAATTGTTAAGCTTATAGGTACTCTGATAATGGTGTGTAAAGGGAAAACTGGCTGCTTGCCTACTAGTCTGGCATACCTTTCTTAGAACAGCATTAATTACAATAAGTAGCATATAGAGTATTTCAATAAAAATAGCCAAGTGTGTCAGTTCTGTAGAAAAATATTCTGTTCTTTCAACCGTTTGCAATCAAAGAAAGATTGGAATGAGACATATTAACAAGCTCTTGTGTTTCCTTCCTAGAATTACGACAACAGCTGCTTGTATGATGGACCTACGGAGATACCCGCTGGATGAGCAGAACTGCACGCTGGAGATTGAGAGCTGTAAGTACTTCTGCAAATCCTACTTATTCTGTGGTCAACTGCTTCAGACTTTATTTCCGTATTTCTTTTTTTATGTGTGTGTTTTTTTTTTTTTTTAACATGCTACTAACCTAGTTGTCTTTGTCTGATGACATTTAGATCCTTGTAAACACATGTAAAAAAATAGCTTTCCAGATGGATTAGTAATTTGTGGCACAAGGATTAGCAAAAGTTATTTTGTATTTTGATGGACAATTTTCAGCTTTAAAAGTCTCATTCAAATGCCTGGTTGGAGTTCATGTGACGAGCATGAGGATTATTATCGGTTCTTTATCCTCCTCTACTGCTGAACTGTGTAGCTGCTTGTTTCCATTTTTAAATGATGACAAGGGTTAGATTTGTCTGTGGAGTAGATGTTTAGCAGGTTTCCTCCCCGCCCCCCCCATATCCCCTGTTCTATAGTTAAACTTTCAATGCTCATGAAATGCAGCCTATTCTGTAGGCTGATTTAGTAGCTGGTCTCTCTACCAAGCTTTCCCTATAGATAAAATTTGTGCTGTGAACTAAAATTTCGTATCTCTTTTCTCTGAAAACTCTTTAGGGAATTCTATGTACAGCAGAGAAAAAACAATTTATGATCATTTTTATAAAGACAATATTGCATGCATGCCTTACTTGGCACTCTAATTAAGACTGTGTCAGCACTTTCAAGGTACGTTTCCTTTTTCAGAAGAGCTGTAGATAACTCAGCTGGGGAATGTTATTAAGTCCAATATGGCAAGCAAGATGAAAATTAATGGCGTATTTTAAGGTACACACAGAAGTATGTGTATTTTTAAAAACTTATGTGTTTAAAAAGAAATTACGAATGAACTATGTGCACCCTGGAGTTCAAAGTGATGGTAGCTTTTACTGCAGTCTAACAGCGATGTGGTTCAGCTGAGCATCTTTCTCCTATTCTAGAAAGCGTTTAAGTATATACTTTAAACTTGTTTTCAATTCCATTCATTTTAGTGTAATTTAAATGTATGCTAAAATCCCTCCCCGAATTACATTTGTGACACTTCTGACTGAAATAATTCACATGCATAAAGTAAGCAAATGGAGTCTTTATCATTAAAGTTCATTCCTTGCTCTGTGCTGAAATACATAAACAGCAAATGTGATTATGGACTTTACTCTTTGAAAAAAAGATAAATGTAAAATCTTCATTTTATCGCAGTTGACTACAGAATTCATATTGACTGAATTTGATTCAGGATTTCATAACTGCAGTCTTTTAAAGTCAACCTATTGTGCTGCTAGTATGAGAGAAGTATTCTGTACTGGCATAATTGTGTTGAGGTCTAGAGAGTTTTTTGTTTGTTTGTTTGTTTTAAACTGAGAATGGGGCTTAGGCTTCCTATGTCAGCATCTTCGAATCATTAGTGTAGCGAGGACCTGGAATTTTTCTTTTTTACAACTATGCTTGTAAGGCAGGAAATTGGGGAAGCTGGGAAAGCTGTAAGGCTTTCGGTGAAAGCTGCCTATTTCCAAAATTGTTTAAACAGAGTCAACACAGGTTTAAACACAGTCAGCACAGTCTTACTCTCTGTGCAAACGTAGCATGTGTGCGATATCAGCAGGGTGGTACGCTTTTTCTTTCATTTACTTGGTTCAATGTCTGTGTGTAAGGGGAATACTATACCAAACAAGCACAACTTCTGTTAGATTAGACCTTAAACTGTTGTTATTTATATTGTAGAGGCTGAATTTTTGTAGAAACTCCCAGGAAGAGATTGTCGATGAATCTTCGGGCGTACACAAGTAAGGTTCCCTCCCTTTCAGCTCCAGGAATGTGCGTAATCCCCCCCTGTCCTGTGAATTGCTGAGATGCCTCCATCTCCCTTGGGATTCACAAGCGAGCAACTCCCCTTCCTGTCCTGACTGTAGAACCCACTCTGGGAAGCATTACCAGAAAATACCTCCCAGGTCAGTCTTTGTGCAGAACAGAAAATTAAATGAAATATACCCCTGTTTTTCAAGGAGAGCGTGTGCTCTTGATTTATACTTGGAATGGGAGACCTGTGGGTTGAAATCCCGCTTTCGTCCGATCTGGAGTACAAGTTTGAACCCAGGTCCCTTACCTTGCAAGCAACAGTCCTGGAAAACAAGGTACTGAGATCTTCTCTTGAAATTATTTTTCCACTTCGTATGAACTTCTTAGATGGGTAAAGTAAATAAGCCTGAAAATGACCTCTTGAGTCATTTGGTGCAGGAATTCAAGTCTTATCACTTCTGTGAACTAGTTAAGCTCCAAGTGAAAGATTAGCTTGGTTTGTTGCCTTGCCGATTCTATTGGATACCTGTTTCAGACCTGTTTTCTTGTGATGGTTAGAAAAAGGTTTCTGAATTCCACCTCAAGTGTTTTCATGGCCAAGAAGGCATGAAATTATACTCATTCCTTGTTCCAACAATGTTTCTGAGTTTGTCTTCTCCAGCCCTGCTGTGACCTTCATAATATATTTAAGGAAAGTAATCATATTTTCTCATAGGTTTCACTTCATTAAACTAAATGTGCCAGTCCCTTTTAGCTTTCTCATAAGAGCTAATTCTCCGTTTCTCTTAACATGCTAATACTAGTTTCTGCAGCTGCTACAGTTTGAATTTGTCATTCTTCATCAGGAGTGACTGGTACCATAAAGAGTATCTCAGATTAAATCTCTGTTATGCTAGGAAATTAATCCTGCCCTTTCTCCTGGACATGATCCTAGAGCCACCTTTGCCTTTCTCCACAACTGTATAACCTTCACAGATCATTGCCTTTGCTGGACCAGTATGCAGTAAGGTCTTTCCTTTCCTCACTTGTTCTGCAGCTCTAGCTGGGCTCTAACTTTTTATAATATTTTTTTGCCTGGTCCTAAGAGAACATGACTTAGCATTCTATAATACTGTTCACACTAAATCAGTATCCTTAATATTGCTACAGTCCTCAAGGTTATCCAGGTCTTGCTATATTTGTTCTGATTGTTCTGTCTTACTGACGCCTGCAGATTTTGTTTCATTAGAAATTTCATTAGCACACAAATATGAAAGAAGAATACTAATGCCAAGAAAGAGTGTGAGGAGCTTTGCTTATAATCATCCCCTATTTTGAGTGTGATCTATTCTTTCAATGCAATATAATTTCCTGCATTTTTATACAGCTTTACTAATGGTCAGCTTTTAAGATGGTAGCATATCAAATGTTTCAATGAAGTCTAATTTACGTATACTTTGCTTTAAAAAAAGGAGTTATTAGCTGACCGGATCTGTGTGTATTATTTAAGCCTTGGTAAATTTTGTCCTAGTCTCCTGCCATTCCTTCTCTCTTTTCTCATTCCTTCCTGCCCTCCTGTTATTGATGCCAGAGTGATAGGCTTCTTGCTAGTTGCCTGTATCCCTTTTTTCATATGTCATTGTGTCCACTGAAGTTTGTGGCCATCATCAAATCTAGGTTAATTTTTATTAATCTAGATTTGAATAAATCTATATGAATTTGCAAATTAGAAATTATGGTAACAAACAGTTGTACGGTAAAGGTAAAATATGAACAGAGAGAGATGGTATCATCAATTAAGAGATAGAAGGGACAGCATTTTTGTAGTATCGACTTGAAGTAGTGTTAGTGACATTAGATGCTGAAAGTGTAAAAGAGGAATATGGCCCATTCGTTCAAAAAGTATAAATTTTGTGAACTGAAATCCTGTTTTTTGACAGATAGGTAGCTACATCTCTGTGATCATTCTTTGCTTTCCTCAGCCTTACAGGGCAGAAACATTCTGAATATTTCTTTTCTTCTGATATTTCTTCATCTGTAGGCCATCTTTTCCCAGAGAGGTCTGATCTGAGCGGTTTTACTTTTCCCTTTCTTTTTTATTGCCCAACGCACTAAATTGTGGGGTTATAATATCAGAGAGAAATCAGTTTTGCCGTGTATTCATTTTTTCATTTTTTTTTCCCTTTCTCAACTTGCAGTCAACAGAAAGTTGTTTCCTTTTCAGTTGAATACTGACTTCACTCAGTAAAATACCTCTTCGTTCTGATACCTACCTCTGCCACTGTTGTATGAAATGCTGAGTTTCTGATGATGACATAGAATAATTATGTTTCTTCATTCTCTCCTACCTCTTCCTTTGAAAGTGAGAGTTACAACTGTTAAATTTGATAGCTAATCAACCATGATACTAGAGGAAACTCAAGACAAAAATAAATACTAGGGAGTTTACAGAATACTGGTTCATATTTATATAAATAAATAAATAAATTCGTATTGCACATCCTCCAGCGTGAAGGAGGGAAATGAGTGTGGATTTTCTGAATATCTTCAGATGTAGCTATTCAGTATTCATCTGGTACGTTTGGACCTTTGTTCATTTCAATTGTACAGTGACACCTAAAGGCATGGAAATTCACTTCCGTTCGTTTTTCTCTCATTTCACGATGATGTTTGGCATAGCTATATTTATATTGCTCACGAGTCATTGGTTATACTGAGGTATCGTTCAGAAACTGCCTGCCTCCTGACAACGATACTTTCCCATTTCTTTGTTGCTCTTCAACAAACAAGGACTTATTGAGCTTCTACTTAGAAGCATATTCTCAGAAACTTTTTTGGTAGTGTATTAAAGATGTGGTATAAAAATAAATATATTAAAGCCCTGTGGTCTGAGGCCTTAGCAAGCGGGGAGCGTGCCGTCGTGCTTATTGAACAGGAGAAAGGGCAGAGTCTAGAACACAAAAGAAGTCAGAAAGAACAGAAGAGAGAGTATCATTGCTCCCAGTGGCTGTGCAGCCCAGTATCCTCTGTTACCTAACTAGATATTCTGAAGTGTCATCAACAAGAGAAACAGAAGTCCTGGAGGTGACTTTACAAGTATAGCTAAGGCACCGAAAAAAATCATAGATACTTTTTGCTGAAGCCTTGAGTACTTTGCAGATGGCTCCTGTGGTCATCAATCAAAGCTATAATCAGGTCAGACGGGACAAATGATAGTGTTCCC